TATAATGACAAGTTGTTGGAACTTTTTTGATTTGTTTTTCGTCGCCTTTTTTGCAGATTCACGCGTTTTTGTTGACTCAAGCTTTCGGTTACTTCATTTGCAAAATTTTCGAAAGAAACAAACAACACATTTACCTTTTATCGACTCACGTCTCAGCTCGTCTTCTTCCAACTCTATATCCGCACTCTAGAAAATAAAACGTTGAATGAATATGAATGAATTGGGAAGAAAGTTTTCGCACGAATGAAGAAAAAGTGAACGGTAGTGAGGTGAAATCGAAGAATACCGGATTTGTTTCACTGCATATTCAAAACTTTGGAACAATTTCACATATGGCGATTGATTCATCTCGAAACGATCGACTTACTTACTTTGTTTCATTTATTCGTTAGACAAAAATGTAAACAGAGATACTTCGTTGGAATTCTTCGTCTTTTTCACTTTGTTCAACTGAACTCAATTATGTGAACGTTTCGTGAATATGTCACACTCAAACTGGCCGATTACTCGCAATAATTCATGAATAAAAGAGTATCGTCTCCTTCATCCACAGCTATAGCAGCGATATGCAAAAGTGAAACTTTTTCTCTGAGACACACAAAAAAACTACTTCACGATTGCAATTTCAGTCTTAGATGCGTAAACGAACTGCAAATGAAATTCAGTGATCTTCTGTCTTCTGATGGATCCTCCATTAACATGATCTTATTAAGTTAATAGGACTGAGATGCAACTTAACAACACCACTAATACAGCAATGTGGGAACACTCCAATTAATGATTCTGCAAAGGCATGACTCGTTATTTTGCTCCTTCCGCTTCTATAACACTTTACTTTCACTTTTCATTTGCAAATAATAGTTCAAATTCTTTGGTTTCTTCTCATCTTAAATATCTTTTTCGAATGTGCATTTTCGCTCGTTCATTCACTAAAAAATTGCACGCTACTGAAATTAAAACTGTTTTGAATTTGCAAGGAACTATTCAGTCGATGAATTGATGAGTTCCCTAGTGCTTCAGTGGGAATTAACCGATCGCCTGGAAAGCAATGATAGATGATCATTGAAACGATACTGAAACTGATGCGAGACTGACAGACGAAATGATGCTTTTGAAGTGAATGCTTATAGATGTAATAAATAATAAATAATTTTTGGTATACGCACGTCGGTTTCCTATGAAGTGTTTCTATTCTTAACTGAACAAACCAAACAAGTGTTGCAGTCACGAGTGAAATGAATCAAACCTGAGCAGAATTAGTCAGTTTTAAAAAAAAAACAAACGAACAAATTCACGGACGTCACCCATTCAGATAAACGAGTGACGCGCGTGATGCTAAACGTTTTTGCATTCTTTGGTTTTTGTTTCTTGCACGATTTAAGAAGAATCAAAAACCAGAGAATGTAAAAAAACAAAGTCGCTAAATTTAGTGGCAACTAATTCAACTCTCAAAGAAAAAACATCGGACTGTTTCAATACATTCAGTGGCAAATGCTGACGGTTGCGTCATTGATCATGTGCGTTTGCTTTTGCAGTGCAATCAAACTGGATCGAGATTCAAGTTTTTCGAAGAAACACACGTTGAAATACTAAAATGCATGAATCAACGATCAACAACAACTACAATAACTACAATAACTACAATCATTAATTACACTTACCGGTTTCCATTGGATGTCACCGATGACGAGCTCGGCCATTGTTTCGATATCACAACGAGCAAAAAATTCTATTTCCATCATCGGCGATTCGATCAACTCATTCTGAAATTGACTGANCAAATCGAATGTGCTCCATTAGTGAGATAGATGAACGATGCAATGCTTCAATAATGTGCATAGCCTCATTGAGTATTGGTTCGAAAGGGTTGAACGACTCTCGTCGATGGCACGATTGTGAACATAACTTTATATAAACTTAAAGGTAACACAGAACAACTCATAAATTTCTTGGCAGTCTTATAATGGCTCTTATGTATTCTTCGCAAATTCTAGAAGTTGAGTGCAGTTACCGATAATGGATGAAATAAAACTGAAATCATCGAAGGAATCGAAAGTTCAATTTCAGATCCTAAACGAATCAATTAGTTCACAATTGCTCTGTTAGGTGATTATTGATTTGCGCACAACATTTCCAAGTTACAAACCTTGATCACTATGTAGAGAGTGCCAACCGCTTGTGCACAATAGCCAATCGTAAGAGGAATCTGAAATGGGGCGTAGCGCATTAAAGGCGAAATCAAAGCCACATAACGAAGAATTACATCGATAATCCATAAATATTTTTCTACATTTTCTCAAGTTGATTCATGCAAACTGTGCAGTTTGTTGATCATTAAAACGCTACCTGAAGGTGTTGAGAGCGATTGATAAAGTTGTAGAAACTCAATGTGAGAAAAATTCAAAAAATTGACTAAATTATGAGCGCAACTAAACCTCAACAGGCGAGTTCGGTGTTTCCGTTGTGTGCAATGAAGCGATATCAACACAGAGCTGATCGCTGTCGATGAGTTTGTTTTGTGAATTCAAAAAGAGCAATGGTGAAGATTTCGACTGTGCCGTCGTTATTGATGTTGATGTTGACGTTGCTGTTTGCACCGAGGACGGAACATCCTCTTTGCACGATTCCGCATACCATTCCACTCTGAATTAATACTTTCTTCTTTTCAAAGAAAAAAAACGCAACAAAAATTCAAAGGAAAAACAAACGACGAATTGATCGATATCAAAATTATTCTACTAACCACGGCCTATACAAGAAAAGTTCAGACAAAGAGGAAATCTATTGCTAACGATAAGTTCACTATCAAATCATTATACTTTAAAATGCTTACTCAATACGAATTATACAATTCAATTCAAGCACTTATGATTCAATGTTGCCGATTGAGAAGCATCAAAAGGCAAACAACGTTTCAATTCAGATCCTTGTAAACGAATTTTATTCACCTCACCTCAAGCGTTCAGGTAACGCTTCGTTCTCGTCACAAACCAATTTCAAAGAAAGATTCGCCACCTGTCCCAACAGAGCATCTCCCTTCAGATCACCTTCTAACCGTACACTCGCCTCTCGAGGATACACTCTGAATTCACCGTAAATAATTTCCACTGCAGATCGATTAATGATCACAGTGTAAGATAACGAATCGACAACAGAAATGATGATAACAATTCTCATCTCTTTATTCTTCTTTTGATGTTAATCAATCGACCCTTACTTAATTGACGGCATTCCAATGCGCGAGTCCAACATCGAAGTTCTATAAGCAGATTCTGGGACACCCATCGTTAACGATGTAAACTCCCAATCCAATGTTCCATAAACACACGAATGCAATGAGCCAAATTCCAAGTTCAATCCGCTCACCTGACAATATCGCATAATCTCAGCACCTATACGCTCATCATTTGAAGAAAATATTCGTAATGACAGTAACCAAATTCCGACAAAATCAGTACAAATTATGAAATGATCTTGAAAAAAAAAATAAATAAAAACGAGAACAAAATTCACATTAAGTAACTAATCACTCAAAAACACCAACCACAATTAACTTCGTTTCAAGAAATTCGTTGACATCCAAGTTGAGTTCATAAAAGAAATTCGTCTCACAATTCGGCTTCAACTCGATATTCTCAGAAAGGAATTCGAACATCGGCAATCGCTCGGCATTTGTGGTTGTCGTTGACGCATCACTGACATTCACACGTAAACGCTCGAAATGCATCGCTACACACGCACACGAATAAAGCGATACCTCAAATGCAACGACCACATAGAATGAGAATGAGTGCCTTTCAATGATTTCACCGCGAAAATCAGAATCTAGCAATAAATAAGAAGGTAATTTGCATGTATCAACCATCAAAACGATACGCTCTTAAGAGAAAATGAAACCTTAAGAATCAGCGTTGATCCAGAGGCAATCGCCTGCTCGGTGCATAAAAACGAAGCATGTGCACGAACGAAGGCATCAATACGTGGTGCACTCAACGAAAAGAACACACGCTCTGAGAAGACGTTCATCCATTGTTGTTGGCAAGCAATTAACTGAAATTCACGCGAAACTCAATGCTTCAAACTTTTCCGAAACAATTTTCATTGAGAACTGCTTCAATTCAAGCAGAAAAACACCGAATTTAACCATATTATTGTCTAAACTTTATTCACATCTTTTGCAAAAGGCCACAAACGATTGTGGCATGGAAAAATGCGAAAACGCCACAGCTCATTATCCAACAATGGACAAAACTGACTTGTGCATCAGAGAGTTGGAATGAGGGTAATGGTGAGAGTGGTGGTTGTGCGTTTCGTATTCGGTTGATGTTCATGGCGATGTGTGCGGAAATTGATTCGAATGATGGAAATGAGTGAATGTTGAGAATCTGTACACTCGACGAGACGAACTCTTTCAGATCAGCCACGAAAAACGACGACATCAGCGATCGCGAGAGCAGCAGTGAAATCGGCAGAGTGAACTTCTCAATACGACACTCCCATAAAACGTGCGAAATGAACTAAAATCATTCAACAAGAGTTCATATTACGTGATGCTGATGAGGAAAGTTTTGATAGCGAACACACCTGAAAACGAAATTACCCAAATAAATTTGAATGCGATGACGTGAAATGAGCGACCGAATCACTAGATCAGTGGATCAGTCAAACCATAATCGAACAGTGTGAATGAACCCACTTGCAAGGCTTTCGAGTGATGATTCAACGCAGCGTATTCATCAGCCATCAGCAACATTATGTGTCGTTGCATTCGAACGCATTTGTATTTTTTGAACTGCGACATTGCGGATGAAAGCAATGCTAAACATCGCTTATGGTTCGGCATACAACGTTGCTGCAATCACCAACTTCATCGTACTGTGAACGTTCTTATGGCATGCACAAACCAATCGAGTCATCATCTCATTAGCTCAATAAGAATCAAAACGCTCTCATATCAAGTGGTGGGAAAAGAATCACTGGATGCAAAGAGTACCTCAAGAGTGATTCTCGCATTGTTCTCAGTGATCGAATCGGCTAAACCTCCGCCACTTTCGGTTGACACTCGCCATGGACGTTGTCCATAGAAGACGACGGTTGACCATGACGATTGTTGTGATTGAAGTGGATCGGGTTGAGGCGAAATCAGATGATCGGCAACCGACGACGATAACGAAAGCGCAGATCGCATTGAATCGATCAGCTCATTTGCTAGCCTCAGATGATCGGCAGATGCGTGCAGATGAATGCCAGGGTGTTGTGTCGACATCGCGGCTAGTCCATTCACCACAGCACGTTCGAATAAGTCCGCAAACATTGAACACTGCAATTGAACACATCCTATCGCATCATCATCATCACCAATCTCAGAGTGCATTCAACAAGACCAACTCGACTAAAGTCTCATGCAAAGTCAAATGAAAATGCTTCTGAAATCATGCCATTCTACTGACTTTCCCAGTTGGCTTTAGGCTTATGATCGATCGACAAATCAACAACAATCGACAAACCTCACACTAACCTGTTTACTTTTCCAGAGAGCGAATTCGATGGCAGCCAACTGCGCGGACGGATACTGACCAGGTGAGGTGGCGAACATATGTGACACATGACGACGTTGTTGCGAGATTGCTTCGAGCGCTGTGCTATGCAGAAATGACAGTTGACATATCTACAATCGCGTATTGTATTGAGGAACTGGAATGATGAAAATTGCAATGAAGACTATGATGCAATTGCAATAAGATTAACGACGTCTATCGATATGAAAGCGGACTTCAGATGATAAACCGACGAACTTTATAATTGATAAGACCAGTGACTTGTCTCCATTCGAACAACTCCGATTCGGCCGGTTCACTCTCGATACAGTTCTGATACGCCAACTTGTAATGCCTTAATTTTTGTTGCTGCATTCTTTAACGAAGCAATTCGCCCACTGACTAATGAGAAAACAATCATTCATCATTGTTGAATTAATAAAAGTTTATTGATAAAAAACGAATAATGGTAATAATAAGGAAGAACAAAATAAAGGAATAAACATTGATAACGAGAATACTGATGACCATAATAATAATAATTACAATAATAATATTACAATAGTAATAATTACAATAGTTCAGACAATAATGCAAACGAATACCTTAAGGCTGTATGCGTATCCTGTCTGAGTTCAGATATGAAGGCCAGTTTGAATTGTTGTCTGATGATGAGATTTGAAAAATTATTTGGTATTGATCTGGCCCTGATTTGTTTTATGCACTGTTGATAGAAGGCTTGAGCTAGTTCGTGAAATGCTGATTCCAACCTGAACGCACGTTTAACACTTATTTCTTTGAGAATTCTCAAATCATCATCGCCACCGATCACAAACAATTCATTTCGTGATTGCGCGACAAGCTCCAAATGATCATCTTCAATGTCACTAATGATGAAAAGAATAATGATATGGTGCACTACTTGATCTATACTTTAATCCTTTACGTAAGCTCCGAATATCATAGTTCAAACAGCACTATCATGTAGGATATAATGTGATATGATAGTTCATTATGACAGTTCAAAGAAATGATCGATTCAAAGATTAGAACTTCAAAATCGTCAAAGCCCTAAATCCTTCATCAAATAATTACTGGGATTTTAAGAGTTCAACTCACCTAACCACAAATCCTAACATTTGATCGGTCAACGGAAAAACAAAGAGTTGCTTCGGTTGAAGTTGACAACTCTGACAAAGTTTTGAGGCACGTTCAGCCGCGAACGGATCNCTGCTGGATCGAACGGTGAAAAAAAATTCGCATGTTTCCGGGCAAACCTGAGAAGACGGTTAGCTAGAAGATCGCAATCTGCCTACTGCTAATATGAACGTACTGATTGCTCTATAGAGATACCACTTCAAATGTCCGAAATATGAGATTAATTCACAATATCCAATCAACAGTACACACAATCACTGTGTGTCGCAAAAGTGATAAAAATCAAAAATTTTGAATAAAATTCATTTTTGTCCTCTCGTAATCTATCATTGCAGTTCGATGTGTTTGTACGGTGGCTCAATATGAAACGGTATTTAAGTCTGAAGCTAGCAAGTCTTTGGGCATGTCCTCAGCACTTCGAACATCTATGCTGATTATCATCTTAATCTTTTTATTTGACTGACATTTCGAAAATCAAACGAAAAA